AAAAAAAAACCGACTTCAACCCTCATATAAAAAAAAAATATATATATATATATATCTCATGATCCACTGATCGGATCTTAACCAGATTAGTATGCGACCACCACTGCGACCTTTCCGATGTAAAAAGAATTATCGAAATCGGTTGACGTGGTCCAAAGTTATGCGGTAACATACATACAAAAAAAAAAAAAAAAAAAAATATTCCGACGAACTGATATCCTCCTTTTTTGGAAGTCGGTTAAAAATGAATATAGTGGAAAAAAGCAAACGATAATTTACAAGGCGTACTTAGCACGGTGCATAGGCAACTGGCTGAGTCAGTGGGATCGTCGGTTCGAAGCCTACTGAAAGAAGTCTGATAAGGAAATGTGGTGATTTCCGAAATAGCTATCACTTCCTTCATTTTTTCAAATTACTGTTGCTTTTCCACAATAAATTTTTATTAAAAAACGGCCTCGACCTCAATAAAAATTGTTGAATATATTTTTTTTTATGTATGTTACCGCATAACTTTGGACCACGTCAACCGATTACCATAATTCCTTTTTAGAGAAAAGGTGTTACCTCACAGGCGGTCCCACTCTACTTTAATTTAAATCCGATCATTGGATCATGAAGAGATTACCGATAATCTTAAATTTGTATATGAGAATTGAAGTGGGTTTTGTTGCTTGCTTAAAAATTATTTGTTTATGTAAGCATTTGTTGTAAAAGTAAAAGTCACAAGTATTTTTAATGCGATCTTGCCAACAGCAGTGTTTTTTGCATACACTTGCATCCAGAACTCTCTTGGCTCCCTTCGTAGTATTTAGTATTCAAAGTGTTGTCGTCACTGATGTCTGGAAGGTTTTCTAAAGCTTAATTTGTCATCCCAGTAGGTCTACTTTTCGGGTTACATGAAAACGGGTTTGTTATCCAGCTATAGACATCCTCAGAGTGAATGTTGGGAAAATATTCGACAATGGTTTTTTTCTAAACCTTCCAAGTTAACGCTGATAATGCGCGTTAACGCTAAGAAAATAACTTTTACAGCCAATTTCTCGAAAGCAATTTAAGTGAAAAATTACTTAGATTTTTGGAATTTTATATGGAAATTGACAGAAAATAAAAAATAATTTTCCATTTAAATTGATGGTGAAACCGGCTGTTATCAATTTTCTTGGCGTTAACTTCATAGTTAAATACGTTTTTCTCATTTACTTTGTTTACTTATGGGGTTTTCATGCAAAAAATAAAAAAATCTCGACGTGATAGAAAAAAAACCAAAGATGTATTTTAATTTCGCAGGCCTCTGTTACCTTCGCAGCGTCATCCAATACGGGTTTTAAATCTAGTCGCGGCATCTTCCTGGTCGCCAAGGAACACAGACGGATCATACAGTGACCTCTCGTGGCGTTTTCTGCCTCTTGCTTCATCCTAGACATCGCTCCTTTCGTTTTTCTAACCACTGAAAATATCCGCACACGTGCTCCATTTCAAACCATTTTCTGTACAAATTTGTCGATAGCTTTAAAAATTTCGTTGCTGGTGGTTTAAGTCTCAAGTACTTCGCTCATCAAAAGTTCTTCTTTGATTTGCATCCTGGTACCATTCTGGTGCCTCACTAACACGAGAAGAACATTAAGTCCCACTACGTCGGTACTTTCGGCAAGTGGCAAACAAAAAAATACACAAGTTTTCAAACTTTGTATAAGTTCGTTCTCGACTGCCTCTAAAATCGTGTTAATTCGCTCTTTCACAGTATGATTGTGAAGTTCCAAAGAATAAGTAACATATACACGTGCGCGAAGATGCTGCACTTGTCACAAGAAAAATCCAAAGCAAAAAAGCAAAAAATCCGAAAATTAATTCGAAAACGGGAAGAAACGTGGACGAAACGCGGATTAGCTCTGCGTAAGTACCCAAACTGAAAAAAGGGTACGTTTTCAGCAATTTTTCTGGAAATTTTCTGATTCAATTTTTCGTTCACAAAACGTACTGGGGAGCTGTGCTTATGGGCGAAATGAGCTGCTGAAGGTAATTTTAATAAAAATCAAAATTTTTTGATTTTCTGGCCGCCATGTTGAAGTTTGAGCAATCCGTTGCGTTGTGTATGGAAAGTGTAAAGAAATTGCCCGCACCACTAGTATACTCTAGCGGCACCCCAGGCATACGCTTGAGGCACCCCAGGGTGCCGCGGCACCCACTAATCAATAACAATTAACGCATTCCCTAGTTGAAAGTTTAATTTTCCAAATTCATAAGCTTTGAATCAATTGCGCGGGCTAAAGATTTGTTTTAAATTAATCTTTCGTGGCCAATTAGTATTTGCTTAGACCTAAGACAAAATAATATTACTATTACAGTGCGATCAAATGCCTTTTATTTTCCCCCATACCAAATTGACCCACCTAGTAGTTATGTATGCGGGCCCCTTTTGGGGGCATGCACTTAAACATAAATCGTACGCTTATAAATTAAACGCGATTTTCCGGCTTAATGCCCTACGCATATGTAGTGCTTTCCGGACAGTTTCGCATGATGCAGCCAGTGTGATTCCTAGCATAATGCCTGTTGATTTAATGGCTAGTGAGACCTAGCGCACCTTTTTGACCTCCCGATCCAAAGGCAGAGCCCTCTCTAAGCACGAGATCGAGGGCGAACGCCAAAAAAGCCTCGCCCAATGGCAATAACGGTGGGCAGCGTCTTCGTCGGATCGCTGGACTTTCAGATTCATCCCGAACATTGAAGCCTGGCTAAACAGAACACATGGCGAAGTTGATTTTTATATGACCCAACTGCTGAGTGGACATGGCTGTTTCAGACAGTACCTGTGCAAGTATGGTCATGATGACACAATGGCGAGTGGTTCATGTGAAAGTGTACCGGAAACTGTCGAGAATATATTCTTTACGTGTCCTTCTTTTTCCGCTCAAAGAAACGAAAGATTTGATTCTGGCTAGTCGAAGTCCTGAAAACTTGCTATCATATATGTTAATGACAATGAGGTCTGGGACGGAGTAAAATCTGTCAGTAAAGAAATAATGACTGAGCTTGGAGTAAGGGAACATCGCCGCCGGATAGAGAGAGGCTACAATCAGTGAAATCAAGTAATTGAAATTAATTGTGTTTCACTCTTGTTTTCTACTCTACAGGAAATCTTTCCACGAAGCTCAGTCGGCAAAATGCTCCTAAACCCCTTATCACAAATGTGCATGGGGGGGAATATGGAAATGGCGTTATGGAGTGAGGCACTTTGTATGCCACGGCCCCTCTATGATGAAATGCGAAAGCAGGTGGCTCCATCGGAGTTTCATACGGGCCACTCGATGGATAAAAAAAAAAAAAAGGCCGACCGATTTCGGGCCGTTCGGACTGATGCCACACTTAGCCAGATTATTTGCCGACCGCATTTGTACGCACAAATCTAGTTTTTATTTAAATTTTGTAAGCAGTGAAATATTTTGATAAGTTTTAATTGACATACTCTAAACATGCGATTTTATAGGTAATCTTTTTGTTTTGCATCCAATAAGTCGCAGTCCATTTTGGTACTTTTCACCTGACATCAGACGAGAAAAGCAAACATGTTTGAATTTATCATCACAGACGGGCGTAAACTGCCGATGTCGGTTCGGTTAGCGATTTATGTGTGAGAGCGCTAATATAATCACAAGTGTTCATCCATATCGCCCGCATATAGCCGATATCGGTAAGAGTTTCAAAAGGTCGGATCGAGAATTACGTTCCAGCTTTTTTTCAGAGAAAAACGCGTGGAAGTGCACAAATTCGTCATCCACTAAAGATTCGAGGTCCGAATTATACATTTTTCTTAAACTTTCTGATATTTTACGAATTTCACTGAAATTTAGATTGCCAAATTCAGTAATAACTGCAAATTTTTCGTTAATCCTTTCATATGCTTCACATCTTTTCCGCAATTCGGAATCGAGGTTGTCAAGAATGACGTTGAAAGTGTAAAAATAAAAATCATAAACTAACGATAAAAAAGGATCGGAAAAATAAAAATCACAAAATTACGATGAATTTAGGATTTTTATTTCAAAAATCATAGCGGTTACGATCCCTGAAAAAAACCGGTTGCCGATTTTGAAATTAAGAAATAACCAGATAAACCGGTTTTATTTTACATAGTTTTTATACAGTGAAAATGCTTATCTTGGCATGAAGTCATGCCCAAAAAATACAGTAAAACTATTAACAGCAAAGATAGCTTTTATTGACAAAAGAGCAAAGAAAAATATGTACAAAGCTTTTTATATCCAAATTAAAACAAATAAAAATCATGAAAAATTCACGTTTGGTCTTTTATGGTTTTTAATACTTTATTAAAAAAGCAGAACACGAATGCGAAGAGAAGCTCGGCCAAACACGTAGAAAGCGTTTAAGCGCGAATCATTCGTTTATTGGAGTCAAATATAATATACTCTTCATCTCCCAAATAACCTAGGATATAATTTTGAAACTGTTTAGGGGCTTCCCTTGAACTGCAGAACTTCGAAAAACCTAAAAGTTTTATTCAGAGGTAAAGATTCGGATAAAATTAAAAAAAAAAAACGGTTTGTTAAGATTTCAAGGAAACCGCCTAGAGATTTGCAAAAAACCAGTTGAAACCATTTTGAAAAACCGAGTCAATCACCCTACTAATTAATCTACAAATGCATCCGTAAGAGATTTGCCAAAGAGCGATTAATGCCCAGAAGAACCTAGCTTTAATTCCTGGTACCATCAATGGGAAAAAATATATAGGGACAATTATAATTTTGCCTTGAAAAATACTTGTAAAAATCTACAAGCCCATGGCTAAAACATACCAAGAATATGAGCTTCAAATATTGTTTGTATTTTCTCATGTACCCTACTATGGGTCTATTCTCTTTAGAGACCAGTCTGTTCTCTTTAGAGACTAGTCTATTCTCTTTAGAGACTAGACTATTCTCTTTAGAGACTAGTCTATTCTCTACACTAGTCAAAAAAGGTTTACGGACAACACTATTCCGTTGATGTAATTGATATCGTCAAATTTATTTATTTTTTCGTTATTATCGTTGCAATTCAAATCATATCACAATGGTGTAACATGTACAAATATACATAGATAAGTAAATATTATAAATTTTTCGGACTGGCTTGAAAGTGATAAGGCATCAGGCACCAACATGGCACTCTACGATCATATTATGCTGTAAATCGCCACCTGCTTTCTATATTTAGAGGTCTTTTCTGAGGAATATAGCAATTAGTGGTGGTACTCGCGGGAGAAGTGAGAACGTCTTATCAGTAAATATGTATGTACATACTATCCAAAATCGGCTAGTGCTCGCAGGAGATGCCGCAGTAAGTCCTCCCTCACGTAATTGATAACGAGGGAAGCAACAATGATCGCGTCGCGGAGTGGTGCGACCGAACACCACATTGCTTTGACAAACACTAACTTATGGTACTTACTTTGAGTTGTTTATCGCATTTTGCGGGAGTATATGAGTTCATATATACATATCGGTTCATACATATGTATGTATGTATGTGCTTACAGCACTCTGCACCGTAAGTATTAATAGTTTGAATGAATGTTGGGATGTGCATGGAAAAATAAAAATTAAACTTTTTTGTTTTTACTTGCACATAAAACACGATAAAGAACAGACTTCATTACTTCAGTGGGACGCCTAATCGTTTCGCGGGCTACAGAGCCAACCTCAGTAGGTTTTTACCAGCGCCAGTTGTCAACAAATTCGTGGTTCGTTTGAAAAGCAAAAATAATTTGGAGCATTTGATTAATCAGCAATAGTTGAAGTTAGTGAACCACATATGCTGGTCGGAATAAAGAGGTAAACAAAAGAAGAATAAGTGCGTTTAAATATTTTTTATGAAAGTGTTATTTCTAATAATCGTCAAATATGTAGTATGTTATCCGTCTGTTTAAACGTTTTTAATTGAAAAGTATAGAAATGAAGTCAGCGTTTGCTTGACTGTACTTTGTTCGCGTTCTAGTACTCAATAAATGTTTTGTGCCTCATTCGATGAGAAACACGCGGTGTGTCAACAACGTCGCCAGACGTAAATCGATTGAAAGTGTGAAGTGAAATATGAAATTAACATTTTGAAAAGTTTCAAATATTTAGAGTATGTGAAGAACAAAAGCGAAGGTATATACATAGATATCACCAAAAAATGAATGGTTATCTTAAAGAGTTTATTTAATCGGATGGATCATATAACAAATCCCCACATGTTGGAAAAGTTTCGGAAAATTATATGTTTGCTGCTTTAAATTAATACATACATACATACAGTATGGCTCATATCAATAGCACCACATTTCACCCCCATTTCAAAGTGATATTGTTTGCCACTTATGTTTATTTATTTTTAGTTTAAAACTTTGTAGAAAACTAAAAAAATGCAACAAGTTTTCATCCACATTTCAAACTTTTTTCTCAGAATTTTTTTGACAAAGGCGTTGCGGTGTCTTCCATATAAATATAAATTGGTTTTATTCGTTATATGGAAACAAATGCTGTAAAACAATTCCAAAAAATCCACGGTAATTTTTGGCGACGTGATACTTGCACATTATCAGACTAATACTGAATGGGCTATAAAACTGTATACTCAAAAAAATTGCGTTTCTGAGAAAAAAATTTTAAATTTTAATGAAAAACTTTTGATTTTTTTTTTGTAGTCTTTTAAATACAAATGGCGTTATTCATAAAAAATAAAGTAGGTTTAAAGAGCTGTACAAAGTGACATTTTCATACATTTTTCAGTTTATAAACCTTTTTTAAAGTTACTTTATTTCTTATGAATAAGTCTAAAAGTTTTTAACTAGGAATATTTCTGCATCAAAAAGAAAAAAAAAATGTCGCTTACGTTATTTAGGCGGTTAGGGCTCGATACTCATATTATAAATTGTGCCCACAAAATGGGTATCAAATATCACTGTGCGCTCCCGTTACTCACACTCGCTACAATTATGACGTGTTGTCCTTTCTCATTATCTATGTACGTACGAATGTACCAAAAGTGGCAGCCGTGTTAAGAACACTATTTTCAAACTGAAAAGATGTGAAACACTCTTGTTCCGAACTATAAATACCTAAATAAGACTGGCCGAGAGAATTACATTTGTAAGTTTTGTACTTTATTTACATATATTGGTTTAATTTTAATTAAATAAAATACTATAGGCTTATTCGTTTAAAAAATTGCTTTTGTGCCTTTGATTTTTTGATAAACTTCACACTTTATTTTTCTTCTTATTTGGCACTACAACCGTTTGTCGGGTTGAGCCGAGACCAAAAAACTTCGCCAATTGCCTCTCTCCTTTGCGGATTTGCGCCAGTTGTTCATCCCAAGGCAAGTCCTTCTGCAGTTGGTCCTTCCACGTTCGTGGGCGCCCTTTCATTCGTAATCCACCTAGTCGGTGAATCTTTTCACCAATCTTTCCAAAAACGTATTAGTTTTGCAAATTTCACAAGAAATGTGCCCCTTTAAAAAATTCGTTGTCCTAACATTGTGTTTCTAAGAAAAAAAGTTGAAGGATGAATTGAAACTTCTTCTTCCTCTAATACCCATATTACTATACTACTAGTGAGCCCGCATGGCGCTAAAACGCCAAGATTCAATTCAACATTTATGCCAAATGTTAGTCACAGTTATAAAGAAAGAGAGAAGTTTCGCATGGTTCGGTTTAACAAATTTAAATCACTCTGTACTGATAAAAAAGTCCTTATATTACAAAGATAAAACGTTATCATCTACAGACAGTAGTAGTTGGCAACCCTAATCAAAAGTATTTTCCAAGAAACGATTTTATAAAGCTCCTTCGTTTGACACTCATTTAAGTATATCATATATGTATATTTCTTATGTATACATTAGGGAGGTCCTTAAAATAAAATTGGGATTTTTTTCAGTTTCACCCCTTCAATTGGTAATACCACGGTCACAGATATCACATGTAAGTTTGGTCCCGATTGGAGACGGTTAAGGCGCCTCGCACAGGGGCCAAAGTTCAGATTCCCCTATGGAGGCTCAAAAAATTAAAATTAATTTTTTTGCCAACTCATACTAAAAATCGATATTACCCTAGTCGAAGATATCACATATAAATTTTGGTCCCGATTGGAGTCGGTTAAGACGTCTTCATAGGGTAATCTGAATTTTGACTCCTATGCGCCGCGCCTTAACCGACTCCCATCGGGGCCAAAATTTATATGTGATATCTTCGACTATAGTAGTATCTGTTTTGGGTATTAGAAAACAAAAAGTAATAATTTTAATTTTTTGAGTCTCCATAGGGGAATCTGAACTTTGCCCCCTGTGCGACACGCCATATCCGTCACAAATCGGGACCAAAATTTATATGTGATATCTTCCGCTATAGTAGCATCGACGTAGGGGCTGAAGCTTAGAAAAGTTTGAAGTAAAAATTTGTTTCCTACATTTAAAGACCACCCTAGTATATGTACATACATGTATTAACCAATTTCGAGCTTTCATTCAAGTGGTAGCCCTGTATTTTCAGACTAAAATTTCTTTCGTCTGACATTAAGATACATATTGTCATTAACTGATGAATTAAGTTGAATTTGATTTTTCAAATACGTGGCAACCCTCCCAAATAGAGTTTTGAGATAAAAACTATCCAAATTCAGTTCGATTGATACAAATCTTTTAATAATTACTTTTAACTTATTAAATAATTAGAATTTAACTTTTTAAACAGGCGGTAATACTCTTGAAATGCCACAAAAATGTTCTAAATATTCAAACTAAAGTTTTCTTATGGTAATTTCGTTTCTTCCAAAATGTGTTTCCCTTCCGGGGCAAAATGTGTTTGATGTTATACTTAACCCTGTAAAAGGGCATGTTTTTTCCCACTTGTCCTTGTCTAGTTCACGCATTTCATAATATTCTCATTTTAAGCAACCATCTGATTTTCAGGGCAACCTTCTCCCCTGCGAAAGCTTCAAAGGGCAAAGAATGTGCCTTTTTTGCCTTACATGAGTGCGATATTTTAAGAAACGAACACGAAATTTTCCCACCGTTTGCCTCTATTTTAGAATAGAACACGAGAAAAGAACAGGGCTATCAAAAGACGACAGTTTTTGATAGAAACGAAATCACCATTAACACTCTTTTGTTTGGCACCCGTATTCTAATATTTTATATAACTTGTGTATATTTAGGGGCGAGGATGTGAAGTGATTGATTAGGTTTAAAATCCTAAAACCTAAAACTTAGTAAATATAAAAATTTCATTTTGTAAACGTGTTTATATTTTTTTTTTATAACTCAAAACCTACAGAGCTGTTTGAGAGGACTAAATATCCATAGAATTTAACCCACACGAACGCCTGCCCCTCCAGCAACAACAACGACTATGGTAGCGTCATCAATACGGCCAATTAACACAAGAGACCGTATCAACCAGGGATGTTGCGAATAATTGCATTCGCATTCGTTATGAGAATGATTCATATCATTTCACACATTCGCATTCGCATCAAATGATGTGACTAACATTCGCCTTCGCATTCCGAAAATTCGCATTAGCATCCGCATTCGCGAATGTAAAAAGTATGACATTCGAAACAGCTCTGGTATAAACCGTCACGATCAGTGTTGCCGCGAATCATTTTTAGTGGTAGCCAGATTCCTTTAAAAAGGGCTAAAAAAGAACTAAAAAAGTCGTTGTGGCTAAAAATGGTAGCTAAATTTTTTTACAATGAACTCTGAAAAAAAGCTAATATTTTATTCAACCAAAAACCTTTTTGTATAAAAGGGGAAATGTACGACACCAGCTTGCTGGCTCCATCAAGTGATTGTACCATCAGGCTCGAAGCATATAACTTACCAGCATGCTGGTACAATATTTATTTCTTTACAAATGAGGTCGAGGAAGGATCGAAATGATTAGAGCCGAAATTTCATAATTTTTTTTACCATTTTGTTAAACATTGTTTTTTTTTTGTTAATTCACAACTGCAATATCGTTAACTTAATCTTCCACAAACACGGCTTTGACTCATGTAGTGCAAGAAATTTCCGCCAAAATACTTTTTACTTAGAAAATTGGGCTGATTTCACCACTCACGACACCAACATGCTGGTACAATCATACAAATCATCAAATAGTTTTTGAAGTCGCACCAGCAGCTGGTACAATCACACCACAAGAATATACACGGTCAATCGACTTGATGGACCATTTAAAAAATTAAGCATATTAAGGGCCGTAAACTTATCTATTTCAAACTACAGTTAAAGCGTTAATAGATAAGTTAACAGCCCTAACACTTTTACAGTATGTACATATGTATAAAAACGTAAGGAACATACTTTTACATATATGTATATATCAGCCTTTCTTAGATTAAATTAAGCAAATATAGAACTTTTTCATACCA